GTGAAACGAGTCAGGCACAGAAAGAGAAATACCACATGTTCTCACTTATTGGTGGGAGCTACAAATAAATAAATAAACACACACACAAAGAAAAATACTGGGTTGGGGGGGAAGAAGACTTAACAACTACAATTCCTTGAAGTTGATACGACAAGCAAACAGAAAGGACAGTGTTGGGTGGGAGGGGGTGAGGGAGGAGGGAGGGGGGTTTCGGTAATGGGCCACAATAATCAACCACATCGTATATCGACAAAATAAAATGAAAAAGAAAAGGAAAAAAAAAAAAGCCCTCGCTCCAGCTGTCTGTGAACAGAACCTTAGAGAGGAAAGTGGCCCCACAGACTCCTGAGTGTCTCTTAAAGAACTTCAGTCCATCCTGAGCAGTGCCAAGAGCACAGACTTGACGATCACGTGGCTGAGCCCCATCCCAGCTCTGCCACTGAGCAGCCGGGAGCCTGGGCTGGTCACTCACACGTCTGAACTTTGATGCCTTATTTGTAAAATGGGAGGAGGGCAGGGAGGAACAGGTCACAACACCCACATCACACATCAGACACGAGGCATGAAAATACAGCCTCTGGCACAGACTATGTCCTGGATGAATTCTAAAAGGCTAATTCCTTCCCTCGGGAAGTGCCGTTCATTCATTCACTTACCAAGTGCTGAGCGCCATCCTTCCCGGCCCCTTTGAAACTAAAAGCCAATTAGTGCAGAGGATGGACGCTGATGACACAGAGGGGAAAGTGGCAGGCTGCAGGTTAGCCCTCTGGAGGCCGAAACAAAGAAATGAGCCTCTACCCCTCCTAGAGAGACGGACTAGCCCAGTGGTGAGAAATCGTCTGCCAGAGTACCTGGACCCGAATCCCTCTCTGCATCTTACAGGTACATGTGGCTTTGGGCAAGTCACAGCCTTGCTGAGCCCCATACTGAAAATGAGCTTATGACAGCAGTGACCTCACAGGACAGCAGTGAGACTCATGTGAGACAGCACTGAGGCAGCGCTCCCACCAGCACTGCAAGAGGAGCTAACTTATCATCCACTGCAAGAGGAGTGAGCTTGACGAGAGAAGAAAGCAGCCCGGCCTGGTTCAAAAACACGGGGAAACTCAAAGCCAGGCCGGGGCTGATGGTCAGCCGGGAGGGCATGTCCAAGGCCGCCCTCCGCTCACTGGTGCTGTCTCCGAGCAGGGCGCCCAGGCGCAGTTCTGCAGATGGAGACGTGGGGTCAACGCCCGGCCTGGCTCCTACCTGCTGCAGCCGTTCCTCCCTCTTGCCCCATGTCCTGCAGGGGCCTTGCTTGTGAGCACCTCCCTCTCGTCCTAACAGCCATCACGACCACTCACAGCCTCTAAGACTGTCAAGAGGGGGCTATTTTAGAAAATGAGTGGGGTACAGAGAGCTGCACCTGCACCCGGCACCACCACCTGAGGGAGCACCCCCAAGCAAGGGTCTCTCAAGATGGAAAGGGGATAGTGCAGCTGATGCCCTGGCCCCCAAAGCCAGCTTTCCCAGCCTGGCCAACCCACAACTGTGGAAGTGAGACAAAGCCCTCAGGACACAGGCTGCACCAATGCTTCCCTGGCCATCTAAGCTGGCCTTGCTGAGCCCCGGTTTCAAGGATGGCTCACGCCCGAGATCTTCTGAGAAAGAGCCCAGCTGCCTGGGGACATCATCCAGCTCAGCCCCCAGGTGCTTCGGAGCAGCCAGAGAGAGAAATCAGAAATCTCCTGCAGCCAGCAGGGATGAGAAGGGATCTTTGCCAGTGATAATGAAAATTTTCATGGTAACAGATGCTTGGAGAAAATTGAAAAACAATACTACAGAATTCACAAACCAGAGGGGAACTTCAGAGAAACCTGGTCGGTGAGGCTCAATTTTTCCCTCAGCACCTTCCCAGCCACAAGAAGACAGCTTAGGAGCCATGTCCTCCTAGCAGGTGATCAAACTGCCCACTGAAGCCCACCACAAATCCCCAAGCACCTGCTGTGCACCTGGCCAGGAGACCTCATGCTGGGAACACAGAAGGGATGCAGATCCTCAGATCCAGGCCCCAGCAGATGCTGACTGGAGGGAACCTAAGTTTGGGCTGGGGTGTGGCTCAAGGTCTTGCAGGAGGAGTGGGTGGGCAGTCACCTGGCCTAGGGTGGCATACGGCTTTCCAGAGGACAGCTGGTGTTGGGGCAGAGCAAGAGGACACACCAAGGTAGCGGCTAGTGGGTCTGCAGGAATGGCCACGCACATCGGGGTAATGGCCATCAGGATGAAGGACAGGGTGGAGTCCACTGTGGAGGTCTTGAACACTCAGCTGCAAGGCTTTGTTTGGATCCCTGGAGCACCAGGGAGCCTTGACGTGTTCCTGAGCAGAGATGAGGCCTGCTCAGAGCTTGCCTTTGGGAAGATGGCCCCAGTGAGGATGCAGCCAGGGGACCAGAAGCTTAAGCAGACTCCTCATGCTCCTTACCCTGGCAGGAACACAGGCTGGGAGTGCAGGGGGCGGGAGGCAGTGAGGACAGAGTGAGGGCCATCACAGAAGCAGGGGACAGTCAGCCAGAGCAGAGTGGGACAAGCAGGTGGGCAGTCCCAGGAGCAGACATGAAGCTCCAAAGCCCAGGCACCACCCCAAAGCCAGCAGGACTGGGGCAGGGGCGCTTACCACCTAGCAGCACATGCTGCCCCTACACACCATCTCAGGGCATCCTCTCAGGCCCAGGAGGGTGTCTCCACCCCTACCCACACCCACATGCAGAGGGGCAGCTGAAGCTTGACAACATGAGCTCTCTTGCCAGGCCTGATCCACCCCATGGCTGGTGGGAGATGAGCAAGGTCAAGAACTCAGGCCTTCCCGAGAGGCACATGCTGCCCAGCCCCAAGCTGGGCTCCCTGCCTCAGGCCAGGCCGAGGGCCCAAGGAGCAGGGCAGGATGCAAGCCAGGTGCCTCCAGCCCTGGAGGAAGTGTGGCCAGCCCTTCAGCCCTCAGGCAGCATCTGGGCTGCCCCCACTGGCTTGAGAGCCTCGGTGAGACCTGAGTGCACAGGGAAGAGGCGGTGGGGAGAGCGGGTCAGGATGAAGACGAGAAGCAGGATCCTCACCCTGCCCTGCCTCAATGGAAGCCCCTTGGAGGCCATGCATGTCACAGGCCACACCTGGCCACTGGCAGGCAGGCTTGTTTATGGAAGGGCTAGAGAGACCTCTGAAAGATGTAGTTGAGGAGAGGCAGCCAGACAACGCACAGCATCAGGGCTGCAGAGAGACCCAAGTGCAGGGGCCTGTCACTGGGACTGATCATGTCCGAGATCTCTGAAGAGGACAGGGCTGTAAGCACATGCAGAGCTGTGTCACAAAACTCTCCAAGTAGGAGTGGGCACAAGTCACCCAGCCCAAGCCCTACTCTGCAGCCCTGCTTGAGGGGCCATCAGCCCCTCCCTCACCACCAGGTCACCAGGACCACAACCAAGCAGGATACAGGAGTGCCATGAGACACCCAAAACAGCACCATCGCCCATGTGAGCCACCCCCCATCCAGGGCAAGCTCTGCTCGGACACAGGAGCCTTGCCCCACTGTGAGCTATGAGCTCCTGCTGGTGGGCAGAGGGGCCTGGAGACGTGTGCTCCCATGTAGCAGGCCTGCTTCCGGAGGGCACTGGCATATCAAATCAGGGCAGGGAGGCTCTGAGAATCCCCAGGGCATCTTTCTGCTGGACAAAAGGCTCCGCACTGATGGCTAGGCCTGGAAGGCATAGTAGGTTGAAGTGGTGCCCAGCTCCAGCCCTGCCCCTCTCTCCCCTCTGCCCAGACACCTTGCCTAGAGAAAGACTAAGGGATGAGGGGGCAGGAGAACCCAGCCGCCAGGGTCCATGTCACAAGAGGAACAGGGAAGCTGTGGGCTGGAGCTGGAGGCTGGGCCCCTCTGACTGCCCGGCCTGGCACATACGCACGCACACCACCTGCACACGCACAGCCCCACACATGCACACACAGGCTGCTCTGTGCTAAGGACGAGTTCCTGTGGTAGTGGAGGGAGCTGTCACACCTCAGGCCACCAAACCTCACAGAGATTTGGCAAGATGATTCCAGGCAGTTCTGGAGACACAGGATAGGACTCTGTGGCCTGCCTCAGCACTGTCTCCCCTCTCCACAGGGGCCTCCATACCAGTGATGGGCAGCTCAGCTCAGCCCTTCAGCCAGGTGCACCCCCTCCCAAAGGCCCATGCAAGACGGCAGTCCCCAGCCAGGCTTGGGTCGCTCTCCAAGATGTGATCAAGGTGTCATGGGCAGCAAGTGACAACCCCATGCCATGTCTCATCACAGGGACACAGTGATATGGTACTCAAAACAGGCCATTGCAGGGACCTAACTTATTGAGCAAACTGCTCTGTGCCTAGCAGCTCCCTTCCTCATTTCATTTGACCCACCTGGAAATTCTGAAGTAAGGATTGGCGTCCCCAATTTTCAGATGAGGACACTGAGGCTCAAAAGGCAAAGTCACTTCCCCAATGTCACACAACAAAACAGCAATGAAATCTGAGTTCAAACCTAAGTAAGTTTGCCTTCGCAGGTCCTTTTCCTCCTTCTCTCCCAAGTGGTACAAGTAAAGATCAAGGACCAGCAGGTGAAGCCCAAGGACCCGGAGGTAAAGCCCAAGGACCAGCAGGTGAAGCCCAAGGACCAGCAGGTGAAGCCCAAGGACCAGCAGGTGAAGCCCAAGGACCAGCAGGTGAAGCCCGAGGACCAGCAGGTGAAGCCCGAGGACCAGCAGGTAAAGCCCGAGGACCAGCAGGTGAATCCCAAGGACCAGCAGGTGAATCCCAAGGACCAGCAGGTGAAGCCCAAGGACCAGCAGGTAAAGCCCAAGGACCCGGAGGTAAAGCCCAAGGACCAGCAGGTAAAGCCCAAGGACCAGCAGGTGAAGCCCAAGGACCAGCAGGTAAAGCCCAAGGACCAGCAGGTGAAGCCCAAGGACCAGCAGGTAAAGCCCAAGGACCAGCAGGTGAAGCCCAAGGACCAGCAGGTAAAGCCCAAGGACCAGCAGGTGAAGCCCAAGGACCAGCAGGTAAAGCCCAAGGACCAGCAGGTGAAGCCCAAGGACCAGCAGGTAAAGCCCAAGGACCAGCAGGTGAAGCCCAAGGACCAGCAGGTAAAGCCCAAGGACCAGCAGGTGAAGCCCAAGGACCAGCAGGTAAAGCCCAAGACCAGCAGATGGAGACCATGGACCAGCAGCTGAAGACCACGTACCAGCAGGTGAAGCCCAAGGACCAGCAGTTGAAGACCACGGACCAGCAGATGGAGACCATGGACCAGTGGATGGAAACCAGGAACCAACAACTGAAGACCAAGAACGAGCAAGTGAAGATCAAGGACTAGCAAGTGACAGACTAATATTCCAAGTCACCTGAAAGAAGGAAAACCTTCCTGCTCTGATCCCAGGCACATATTCCCACTAACTGGATTCTAGCTTTACCCCCTCCCTACCTTGTTCTGCACTCCCAGAATCCCCACCCTCTCAAGCCCCACTCCCAACTCTCCCTACACGGACCTATCCGCTTTCTACAACTCACATATCTACTTTCTGCATCTATTTAAGCCATAATAGCATGGGCTGAAGGAAGGTGGGCTGGCCGGCTGCATGAGCCCAAGTGTCGGCACCTATCTGGATTGAGCCTTAACAGAGAGCAGGTATCATTTCCCCACCCCAGCCTCCTCCTCCCCCAATACCTTCTTAGAAAGCTGCTCACACTCCCATATAGATAATGGGAAAAGAGACAAACACAAAGCCTCAGAGCCGAGGAATGCCCAGAGAGGAGTACCAGGAGGCGTGGGTACTGGGATGCTGCAGACCACAGCCCTGCTGTAGCTGGATCCCCAGCTGCACTGTCCCACAACCCTCCCAGCATGGCTGCTTCTGCTCTGGCAGGGACTCATGGGACTGGGCATGCTGGGAAGCGGGCAGCACACAAATAGGGCCGACACAGTCCATTCTTCCCAAAGACCCCACCTCCAGAGGGCAACCCCCTGCACCTCCATCCACCCCCAGAGTCCCTGATGGCACCTGGGAGACAGCCAGCTGATATCCTTAATGCACCCAGGGTGCACCTCCCTTTACAAAGCATCCAGAGCACCGGCCACCAAAATAAGCTTGGCCATAGTCACATCAACACCAAAGCCTGTGGCTCCTTCCCCCCCCCATCATCTCCTCCCCCTCCAGGAAGCCCCCTGGGACCTTCTCACCCCACAACACCCAGAGCTCAGTTCAGCCTGTGACTTATCACTGTACATGGTCAC